CTAGATAGGAAGAATACAAATTTCAAGTTGGTTAATTTATCATGATCTATTGATATAGCAAACAATTTTTATCCACCTGTTTTTCCCATGTGCTTCTACAGCACGCCATGTATTAGATTCATTTGATTATAATGAAACCTTCAGATCAAACTTCCACTAACGAGGGACTTAAACAAATCAGCAATGAGTAGTGAGCCATAAAAAAATAGGCTTAATTTCGTCTTCACTATTATTGATCCCATTAAGACAAAGCAACGAATACAGTAAAACAAAGCAAACAAATGTCTCAAAACTACATTGCAGACTCAAAAATTCACCAAATTAAAAATAGAAACTAATCAAATTCCACTTCAAGAATCAAATCCAAGAACAATATAGTAAAACAAAGTTAAAAAAGGTCATCAATCTCCCCAAATAAAGTTACAAACGATGGAAAAGAAAAAAAAAAGGATGCATACCTTTAAATGCAGTGATAGACCATAAAAGATGATCTTTTTTCCCCAATAGAATTCACACTAGTACAGCTGGATGCATCAGAATCCTTAAGACGAAAACCCTAATTCCCTTGCTTTCCTTCTAAATTGCTCTTAGGGGTTTTTGCAAGAGAGAAAACTTGGCTCTCAATGTTTTATAGTGGCTGCAAAACCTTAAACACGTTTGTTTCTTTGTTTTTTTTTTTTTTTCAAGTAGTCCATGTCATCATTTTTAAATCCACATGTACCAAAATTTTTTATGACATGGCAGCTGAAGTTTAAAAAAGATAGAGTAACTTATCAGTTATCACTAGTTACTTTTTGTGTATTATAAAATTTCTTACATCGCTCATGTTCCCCTTGCTTGAAACAAAATATGCTTCGCAAAGAAGATAAAGGGAGGGAAAAAAAAAAAAGGAAAAAAGGAGGATGATGTTATTTTCACTTTTGAAAATTGTTGCCACCACCCTATAATCTACTTTTATTGTTTAGATAGACCAAAAGACCTTTAATTAGAATTTTTTTTTTTTTTTTTTTTAACAATTGAAGTTAATAGGATTTCCCTTTCCATTTTTGTTTATTGTTCCCAAGTTAGCAAGCAAGCAGGGGTCGGTGCTAAATCAGCAGCAGCTGGAATCCAGTCATAAGTTTGTGGGTTTCCTTTGCATTTAAGACTTAAGAGGCATCGCAACTTCTTTGCTATAGAATCTGGTGCTATATAGGCTGAAGGAGGCATTTCCATTTTGTTCAACCCTGTTCCTTTCCAATTCCCAATTGCAGGTATCCATTTTAATTTGATATTTCTCAAATAAATTGTGTTTTTTTCTTTGGAGAAATTTTGTAGATATAAATTGTGTCGTTTGGCCAAAACTTGGTTTCAAGCTTATCGATTCCTATTTTGTTCATTATTTAGATTACTTTTAATATTTATCGAGTCAATTATGTTTGGACTTGGAAGGTTTCCTCATTCTCTACTGTTATTTTTCTCATATTTTAGCTATCCTTGTGCTGTTTATTGATGTTGTTTTCTTACTCCTACTGAACATAACTGTTGAAGAATATGACGGATTGTGATGGGTGCAGGAATGGCCCTTTCCTTGCAACGCTACACTTGGTCAAGTTTCCATTACGGCTTAAATCGCATTTTAAGAGAAAGGTGAGATTTTTTTATATTTCTTTTAGGGTTGTCATCTTTTTCATTTTTTACGTCCTAGGTTTAAATTCTCAGAAGCTGATTATTTTATTTTATTTTATTTTCTTTAAATGTTTAGAAGTGAAAAGGAGCGTGAGAAATCAATGGTAATTGCAATCAAGAATGGAGATCTTTTGAGTGAAGATGTGATAATCGAGATCTTGTCTTGGCTGCCTGTGAAAACTCTGTTGCAATTCAAAACTGTTTGCAAATCATGGTATGCTATTATTACAAGTTCCAAATTCATATCCAAGCATCTGGAGAATTACTACAGCAACAGTGACAGTGACTGTCTCCTTACTCAATGTTACGTAAGTCATGCTGAACTTGAACTTCGTGAGTTGTTGACAGATGAAACACCCAGAGTTTTATCATCTGAATCACTACATAGTAGGCCGGTGAAAAGGTCACATATTTGTGGTCCTTGTGATGGAATATATTATCTATGGGACTATGATCATCGTGCTTTGTGGAATCCTGCAATCAATGAATTGAGATTTCTACCTGCATTAATAACTAAGCCTGATCTTCCATCTGATTTGAGTTATTTTTGGTTCGATAATTATGGATTTGGATTAGATCCAATAACTAAAGATTACAAGGTGATTGTTATTAAAGGATATAGCAGTGATGAAGAAGGAGGTAAGGACTTCAGGTATCCTTTGTCTGTGCTTGTGTACTCATTGGGTAGTCATTCTTGGAGATATTGTGGAGATTTGACACAATGTTATTACTTGCAAAACAATGGATGCTACGTTTTTGTGAATGGAATTACTTACTGGTTGGGATCATGTGAAGAAGATACAAATTCTGAAGTGATGATTTCTTTTGACATGGCTAGTGATGAGTTTCAAGAGATGCAGGTACCAGATTATGAGAAACCAGCTTTAAAAAGTCTTGCAGTATACCATGACTCTGTTGCGTTGTTCGCTGTTCATGAGGTGGAGAAGGTTTTTGATATATGGACAATGAATGAGGGGTGTTGGTCCAAAAAAATTACTATGGGTCCTTTTGCAGATGTTACCCATGCAGTTGGTCATTGGAAGAAGAATATTCTTGTACTGGAATTTGCTGATTACAAACTATTCTTATGTGACCCTACCAGGAGAGAAATAAGGGATCTTGCATTTCGGGGACGGAGATGGTGTGAAGGAGTTTATGCTTACAAGGAGAGCCTGGTTTCAATCGAGGACAAGAATGTGTGCAGGCAAGATGAGGAAGCTGAAACAGATGTTGACCAAGTTTAGCTATTCATACTATGTGCTTTCTTTCCTTTAATTGGAGCAAAGACAAAGTCAGGAGGACAGAAATAGAATAAAACTTTTTATGATATGTAATAATTTTCTATGGTTGCAATTTAGAAATTTCAGTTGAGTTTAACCTTGATTGACGTAGAGAAGTTGAAGATGATCCTTGTCTCAATAAAACTCTTATTTGAATGGTATGTTATGTATTAAGCAAATTTACCACCAAACTACTGCCTCTCCTTATAATTATAATGCATGACGTTTATCTCAATTATATGATCTCTAAAGGATCAGAGGCCTATCTTTCTTAGTTAACTGCGAGTGAGGTGGATGCTTGCACTCTCTACTTCACTCCAAATTCATCGCTATTTTCTAAAGTTCATAGGTTCATGAGTCTGACTCTAAGAATGCATAGGCTGACTTCCCATTGAGTAACGCATCTCCAATTGATAAATCATTTTGTGGATGAGTGACAAATTTTGTAAGGTGTTCAGTCACAAAGAAAGATTGTGTTCAGAAACCTAATTGCAAAGAAGTGCCATGAACAAGCTGGATAGCTCTGAAAACTAATAGCCAATTCCCATCTGTGAAAGCGAGCAGAATCTGGAACATTTTACTTTTAAGGCATCTTACACACTTGCTCTCGTGAATTCAATTTGATCCATGTTTGTGCCCGACAAGAAAGAACGAGCAGTGTTTTGCAGAAAGTAAAACACAATGACTTATTCAACACCACCGAATACTATCGAATTCAGATTTAACAATACCAGATGCCTATAACTCCCAACGCCAACAGTTTAGAACTGAGAAACAATGGGCTGTAGTCAAACAAAATGACCTTTTCCAAAGCAGGCAAGTGGATGCCACCAAAATCAACATGAGCTGGATGACCTACGTACTCTGCAATGCCCTCATGAGTTGATCCAACTTATTCATATTAAATGGTTGCCATTTCTTGTTCACTTGACCAAGTAGTCTTTTAATTTTCCTTTCTCAGAAGCTAGAAATTTTCTCTTTAATTTTATGGTTCTATTTAGAAGGGGAGAGGTTACCTATTTATGATAATAGCCGCAAACGAGTAGATGTTGTAGTTCATATAAGTTTGTCAAAAAAAAACCCACAAAATTAAGTGATATTTAAGACATATTTTCAACAATCCCACAATAAAAATTCAAGCTAGTTTGGTTTGAAGAACAAACATACAAGAAATCTTGTGATAGCATTGAAACAAAAACCCCAATATAAATTAAGAGGATACAGAGATAGAATAAAACTTTGCATGATATGTAAGATTATCCCTGTGTCAATAAAATTCTTATTTGAATGTTGTGTGTCTTAAGCAAATTTACCACCAAATTACTGCCTCTCCTTCTAATTATAATGCATGACGTCTATAGAATCAGAGGCCTCACATTGAAAGGTGTTATGATCATCTTAAAAGGTTTTATCTATCAGTTTGATGAGTTAATGATTAATCTATTCAAGTTAATTTATTCAAGTTCAGGTGCTAAATTTACTTGTTTAAGTCTAGTTGAAGTACCCTTCAACAATTGAATAAATTAACTTGTTTAAAACTTTTGAGAGAAGTTCTCACATTGAATGAGAATCCTTTAGATTGTTAAGCACAAATCTTTGAAATTGTAAATCCTAGTGATCATTGTAAATTATAATTTAACAGTTTGTTTAGGAAAGAGGAGGATGGCATCTTAACCTTGTTTTGAACGAAAATTTTTAATGAAGTGGGAGGAGAATGGAGGTTAATTCATTTTTAATGCGGATGCTAAAAGAATGTCAGGAGCTATTTATGATAATAACCGCAAATGAGTAGATGTTGTAATTCATACAACTTTGTCAAAAAAAACCATAAAATTAAGTGATATTTAAGGCATATTTTCAACAAACCCACGATAAAATTTTAAGCTATTTTGGTTTGAAGAACAAACATACAAGAAATCTTGTGATAGAATTGGAACAAAAAGCCACTATAAATTAAGGTGACAGATTGGAGTTAGGCATTGCAACAAAAACACTTGAGATCAAACTTGTGTTGTCAAAATAGCAGTTTCTCATCTCTCGTTATATTTTTCTATGGCAGCATTGTGGATTTTGTTCTGTCTTATTTTTATACCACAGTGGGGGGTGTGCTCTTCAACGTTAGAAAAAGCAAATGTGCCAGTTAGCTACAAAACATTGAATTTCAATCTTGAAACTGCAAGCAAGTCAAGCTACACAACATTTGTGTCATCTTTGCGGGATAAACTGAAGGGCACTAAAGAGTACTATGGCATACCAATGTTGCCTGAGCCTTCCAAGGCTAAAGATCCAGAGCAGCGCTTTCTATTAGTTGGGCTGAATGTTACAAAGGAGAAATCTATCACGCTTGCACTAGATGTCAACAATGTATATGTGGTGGGTTATCTTGATGCTTATCAAGATAGATATCGAGCTCATGTCTTTTCCGATGCTTCTGAGGTTGCAAAGGATTCTCTTTGGAAAGATGCAAAAGAACGCTTACTTATTAAGTACCCAAGTAGCTATGGAGGAATAGAAGGGAAAGATAATCCTCGACAAAAAGTTGAACTAGGGATTGAAAAGCTAAAATATGCCATCCTTTCTGTCTTTGGGAAGCAACAGATCAAGGAGAATCTTGAGGCCAAACTTCTTCTACTTTCAGTCCAGATGGTGTCGGAGGCCACACGGTTCAAATATATTGAGAAAATGATACTCAATAGTATTGAACGAAAGGGAACATACAAATCTTTTTTCCCTAATCCCTTAGTGATTAGCTTGGAGAACGGTTGGCAAGACCTCTCTAAAGGTGTTCGAAACTCCAATAAAGGAGTCATTTCTCCAGCAGTTCAATTAATAGATCCCAACAATAAACCCTTCAAAGTTGACAAAGTGCAAGCTGTAGCTCCCTACTTGAGCCTTATGAATTATGAAGTCAAAAAACCAATCGTGTCGGATCAGCCATCTCAAAATAAGGAAATAGCAATTGACACCATCATATGAAAAACAGGATTAACCAACATGATGTTAGATGAAAGTCTTATTCTATATTAATTAGTTTCATGAAGAGTCACTTGTTATATGCAGTGTTTTAGTTCTTAAATAAAAAGGAGTCATTTATCTTGTAAGCAACATAAATAATACCAGCAGTTTAATTTATCTTTTCTATCTACTTTTATTGTGTTCGGGTCTAAAATATCACGCACTTGCAATGGAATATACGACCACTTCAAAGCTTCAGAACAAGGTAGATGGAGAGGCTGTCAGCTATTTCTTTTAATATTTTCAAGGCTAAAAGAAACCGTAGGCTAGTGGTGCTTTCAAATGTAAGCTATTTCTTTTAATATTTTGAAGGCTAGATGATCAATGAACTTATCATTTATTCTATGCTATAAGAAAGCATGTTATTCATTCAAGAGGAAGTGAGAAAAAGTTTATATATACTCTATCTGAATACTAGATAGGAAATTAAACCATATAATGTTTCTTTAACAGTCAGGGAATGGACATAAAGGATGTAAGGCTCAACACGTTGTGTTTTCTACTCCATTGGATCAGATCCTAGGCGAATGAGGATCATTTCATAAATAAATCACATCAAAATGGATCAATTAGGAGTTACTTAATTACTGGTTGGGATCATGTGAAGAAGATAAAATTCTGAAGTAATCATTTCTTCTGACATGGCTAGTGATGAGTTTTAAGAGATCCAGGCACCAGATTATGAGAAAGCAGCTTTAAAAAATCTTGCATTATGCCATGATTCTGTTGCTTTGCTCTCTGTGCTTGAGATGGAGAAGGTTTAGATATGTGGACAATGAATGAAGGGTGTTGGGCCAAAAAATTACTAAGGGTCCTTTTCAGACGTTCCAGTTGGTCATTGGAAGAAGAATATATATTCTTTTACTGGAATTTGGTGATTACGAACTGTTCTTATGTGACCCTACCAGGGGAGAAATAAGGGATCTTGCATTTTAGGGCCGGAGATGGTGTGAAGTAGTTTATGCTTACGCGGAGAGTCTGGTTTCAATCGAGGGCAAGAATGTGTGTGGACAACACGAGGAAGCTGAAATAGATGTTGACCAAGTTTAGCTATTCATACTTTATGCTTTCTTTCCTTCAACTGGAGCAAAGATAAAGTCAGGAGGATGCAGAAATAGAATAAAACTTTACATGATATGTAATAATTTTTTATGGTTGCAATTTAGAAATTTCAGTTGAGTTTAACCTTGATCGACGTAGAGAAGTGGCACTATACCAAAAAAAAAAAAAAAAAACAAAAAAACAAAAAGGCTATGGAGGCGGAACGCTTGAGGCCGTCAAGAAAATCGTCTCAAGGTTTCATAATTTTAATCTTACATATAATTTACATGAGGCGGGTGATAAAATCACCTGACTTCTTAGTAGCTACCCCACATTTTTTTCTTTTTTCTGTTTTTTGAGCTCTAAAAGGATAAAAAAATCTATTCATTATCCCGCCCCGGCTCTTTGATTTCCAGGTTTTTTCTTCTCCTCTTTTTCAATCTCTATAGCTCACATATTCAACCTCTATTCTTCTCTTTCTTCTTCATTTTTAGGGTTTCAAATTTCCATTTTATAGAAATTTCTTTAAATCTCTTTTTCAAAAGTTATTGTTAAGATCTTATTCGATTTGCTGATATATAAAATCCCCAACAAGGGTCCTAGTGCTATGACCATCTGTCTCGTTGCTTTTGGTGCCTTTTCTTATGGCATGTACCAAATTGGAAAGAGGAAAAAGGTACGCGGGTAAAAAAGGCTCTTTTAGTTCCAAATTTTTTATTTTCTGTGGTTTTGATTGATTTTGGCATCTGAGTTTTGTTTTGTTTTGTTTTGTTTTTGAATTAGAGTTAGAAATTTGAAGGATTTGGATTTTTGTTATATTAATTGAATTGGATTATTAGATTGAAGATTGTTAGGAATACTTGACACTTTAAAATCATCAAAATTAATAGTTCTATTTGTGATTAGTTTTGGCATTGGGATTTGTTTGGATTAAGAAATTAACACTAAAATGTAGCTATTTATTACGAGTTTGTCGAGTATTAGCATTATGAGATGGAAATCTTATTTAGGTTTTCCTATTTGACTCGTTGTTGATGGGTCACAAGACGTGGAACAAGTTTATTTTTATCTTTTGTTTTGTGGATGTTTCAAGACTTTTTATGTATTTAGAATTGGGAATGCGTGTGGCATTAGACATCGTGTTAGTTTGGTTGCACCAAATGATGTTGTTGTCCCTCCCGGAAACACAGGGTCGGACCCATCACAAACCTTCTTCTAGGTTTATAACCTCAAACTTATGATGATGCTCGTTTTCTTGTTTACTTTTTCGGTTGTAATAGACTTTTGTTGGTTGTGCTTTTTTATTCGATAGCTACTTTTTTTTTTTTTTTTTCAGGTGCTCAATATCCCAACCAAGACTAACAACGGTACTATAAAGATCATCTCCCCAATCGAGTCGATCAAGAAGGCCGATAAAGCCGGCTCTTTCGAGACCGCTCCAAGTAGCAAAGATTGGTGTTAGGCCATTTTCTTATGGTTTGGTTGTCTTGTCCGTTTATGACAATGGCTCGGCCTTTAGTACTCGTGATGCTTGACCTCATGGTGGATGACCTTGTTGAGAAGTTTGCTACCGGTGTCTCAATGATCGCTCCTTGTCTTTGGCCATCACTTACCCAACCCTTGTCGCTGCACCACACATGTTAATCAATGCCTACAAGAATGTTCCGTCCGTTGATATTCATACTTTATGCTTTCTTTCCTTTAACTAGAGTAAAGGCAAAGTTAAGAGGATACGAAATAGAATAAAACTTTACATGATATGTAATCATTTTCTATGATTGTAATTTAGAAATTTCAGTTGAGTTTAAACTTGATTGACGTACGGAAGTGGAAGAAATATTGTCCATTTACTTATTTACAAAACTAAAACTTTTACATGAATTCTTAACCATAGAATTTCTTCGATCTAACGCTAATATTGTTCAATTGCTTATTTATAAAACTAAAGCTTGGATTTTAGTTAATGAGCTAAGCTCGTCTCTAAATAGCCCGAGATGCTATGAATGTGAGGTGAACAACACATGAGCCAATGTTGCAAATCGAAGAAGCATCGACCCATTTTCAAGCCATAGGCTCGTGAAAGGAAGACAATCGGTGACCATAAGCATCTTGTAGAAGATTGTTGGCTAATTCCTTGCATAACTAATCCAAAACAATTTTTAACTATTCATCTACCTAATTGCGGAAAAATGTTCACTCAAAGCATCAAGATAGAACTAAAATTCAATTGTGATTATCTTTCTCTAGGCATTTTCCTTTCTTTTCTTTTTTTTCCCACAAAGAATCCAAGATTTCGATTAAAACCATACAATAAATTTTTTTCTTAATTATTTTATTACAAAAAACACTAAAAGGCACAGAGATTTTACTATTGTTAGACTCGTTTATCCACTCTCGGTTTATTGTGGATGGAGTTTTTTTTTTTTTGGCCTCTTACTCGTTACCCTAAATTACTCCTATTGCCACTCGGTAGATTTGCGAAAATCTACATTTGCCCTTGACTCGGTTCCCTTTTTAATTTTCTTCCTAAGTCTTTTTTCATCATTTCCCTTCTCTTTTTTTTTCTTTTTTTTTCCTTTGCATTATAAATGACCTTCTTTTTTATTTTTAATTATCGCCACTCAGTGGATTTATGAAAATCTCCATCTACCCTTGCTCTCTTTTTTTATTTCTCTTTTAGCCTTTTTTGCTCATTTCTTTTTCGTTTCTTGATGAAGCATTTAATGCTTCTTTAATTGCCAATTTTTTCTCCTCTTTTTGGTGAGAAAAGAGGAGCTTGAAGAGTAAATTATAAATTAGTTCCCCTTTCATAGGAAAATGAATTAATTAGTTCATTTGATTTCAAGAACTAATTTTTGTCATTCTAACTTTTTTATTTTATTTTTTGACTTTTTGAAAATAAAAAATAAATTAGTATGGCTAAAAAGATTAAATAATTATTTTTTTTAAATCAAAAGGATTAATTAATTCGTTTCCCAAAACAAAAAGGATTGATTTATAATTTACCTATCACTATATTCACATCTAATGCATGAAATAAATATATCTATATGATATGTTTTTATATTATAAAATAAAGAAATATTTTCGATTATATTACTATCATTATTTAAAATTATTTCTTTAATTTGTCATTTCTTATGAAGATTTTCGTCAAATTAATTTTGATTTTGGTTAAATATTATTTATTGATAAACATGATTTATTGTTCTCTACGTATGGATTTTTAAATAAAATTTTACAACATGATTATTTAGAAAAAAAATTATGTAATAATTATGATGCACTCTTAGAATTTTTAAATGAAAATAGCATATATATATATATATATATATATATATATATATATATATATGTTAGAAAATTTGTATTAGATTTTTTGAAAAAAATAATTTACAACATAAATTTTTAATTATAAATCCATGAAGCTTTAGATTTTATTTTTAGATTATCACTAGTTTTTAATTAAGAATCGAATAAATAAAAATAAATAATGTTTTTTTTTCTTGGTAGAAAATGTTTGAAAAATACAATGAATAATTAGTCAAATGCAAATTTTTAATAAAAAAATAATCATTATATTTTGTTGGATACATAGTAAAACGTAAATTTTCAAACTAAAAAAATTTTGCATGTTTTTTTTATTTGCAGAGTGTAGCACGAGCAAAAAACTAGTAATACTCTAAAAAAGATAGGGTTGTGACTATTCATAACCCTATTCACTTTTTTTCTTTCTAACTTGTTGTGAATAATGCTTTTTCTTTCTTTCTTTCTTCCCTTTGTCTTTTTTTTTTCCCATCAATTTATGTTATTTTTTTTATTTTTTTATTTTTTTATTTTTAGATTGCTTCATTTAGGGTCTAGAATTTTAAAATAAAACTTTTAATCCCCTCATTGATGCACTACCAATGCCTTTTTTT